ACGCTAGCAGGAGTAACACAGATCAGCTCAGGATCCGAGCTTGCAGACGGGCTGTAGTATTAGAAGGAAGGAAACGCTTAAAGGGTCTCAAAGATCCTCCAAATATGCTATGACCTTAATAATAATGAAACGGGGTACATTTACGAACCTTGTAGCCTATTCATCAGAAGGTGTGTCAACATGGTGAAAAGGTAGTATTTGTTTGCAGACTAATGATGTTTCGACTCGTGCACCTCCGTGATTTGTTTCACAAGGGTCCTGTCCAAGCATGTCTCCTATACCTCTTATGGAAAGCCTTGCGAGCATCCGGCAACCCGAACACATATTTAGAGACATTTACGGCATTAGTACTGAACAGTGGTTATCGAGTAATAACCACCAAGTAATTTTATGTTAGCCAGCTGCTGCTCATGGCATGAATGAACAATAAGTTATTTTTGTAGCTTGTCGTTTTTAATTCAGTTTACCCGCATTCACTAACTGCGAGCCGGGCGGTTATTCGACGCATGATACCGTTTAGAAACGCATCTACATTCACAGCATCTTCTCGGTGAATGAAATATTTCGAAAATGTAATCACTGATCTTCCTTGAGACACCAGGGCGTTTGAAAATTCAACAAGAAATGCTTTTTGACTTTAAAAATGAGCAATGCACAGTTTGAAGGTTGCGTAAAACGTGCTCGGGGTCGACTTGTGAGAGCAAACAAGCCATACGTTACCAACAGTTGCTTGTTATCGAGATCCCCGTGGTTCCGTCAGATTTTGGAGTCCCACACAAATTCTTGAGAACATTTGGGTGTAATTTTCGATCCTGGAAGCGGCACGATCATTGCCCGATGCATATGGATAACCAGTAGCATTGCAAATGGTAAAAAGGCTCTTGGTGGTCAGAAGCTATGATGTAGACGTATAATGAGTCTCTTCAATCAGGTGTTTTCGTATCAAATCAGAGGTACGGGACATTACACTATGACACTGCTTTTTGGGTTCGGCCTTGTTTACACGATTCTTTTGTTTCCGAAGATTACTGGCGTGACTAATGTAAGTTATTCCATGGACTGTCCTAACGTTCACGGAGAGACTGAAGCATGCAGTCGATACCGATATCCCCATTCTTCCTCTGGTGGTACGAAAAGGAATGAATTTACAGGCAGAGCAAACGTCATCGGACAATAATTATCGAGTGTTTTGCCGATAACTTTGTGCACTTGAAACAAAATGCATGGGGAAAAGTCAACGACGAACTTAGTGTAGAGTCTGCTGATATCCAAACGACACCACAATACGAAAATTGCCATGACAGTAATCGTCCATGTACACTGAACGCAAACTGGTTGGTGTTTGAGGTGCGATGGCCACTTGGTTGTAGGATCCCTATTATCGGAAGAGTCAAAATGCTATATTTTGGGTAAGACCACCGGTTACCGTGTTGGCACTCACCATAAACCGGCCCATATAGCTTTTAGAGCGTACAAAATTACCTGAATCATCTTAGAAGAACACCGCACCTGTGGCTGACAAAGTATGCTGAAGTCAAGTAGAGGTCGCGCAGTCTAATGGAACTGGAGTTAAAAAGTTTTCGCCTTGTTGCCTGGCCTTCGAATATTAGTAGCGCTAGGATTAGAGGCTGAAATGTAGCTCTATGTACCTGGTTAACAGTAAATATATACCGTACCATTACTGCGTAAATAAATTTACAAACCTTCAAGTGTAACGTAGGCGCCAGTTTTAGCAGGGCACAACTAAGCTTTTGACCGTTTGCAGCACAAACACACTGTCTCGGCACGTCTTTAAGAGCTGTTTCACCGGTACAAACAGCATTACGAACAAGCCAACACACAAACTTCTTTCAGAGGAGAAGAAAGCTTCTGCCTGTTTGTGAAAACGCAACAAAGGAATAATCACATACGCATCGATTCTGATTATGCCAAAGTGATTACATCGCATGCTTTCCTTCTGTTTCACAATTAACCCATTGGATAAGTTGGGCACCTAAGCACCACAAATGCCCGATGGATTCCAATAAATTCTGCTGAAGCTGATGGGGTCGCAGAATAGACATTGAAGGTATTCTTTAGATTATGGATTGTTGGCTAGGGAAACATGCACAATAGCTATACTGGTGGGGAGTCTTTCTGTGGGCAGAACTTCTCATTGTTACGGTTGTGGTGACAAAGAGCATCAAAGTGTCAGCCACAGTGTGGCAGTGTAACACAGCATCAGTATTTATGCATCTCTCATCCATGGGTGGCAATGAAGTACCTAACTTTCCATGTGAATGGCCTCAAAATCTGTGCTCACTACTCAAGAGGAAAATATTGAAAAGGCCCTAGACCGTCTCAATTTCTAGAATTGTCAAACAGCGGTATCAGGCGTTAGGTGTTATCCACAGTTTTATCAGGGACACGGAAATCGCAGGGCATTTCACGGATTTTTCAAACTATTCTTTTTTTGACAGACGATGGAGCATCTTGGAGAATAGATTACAAAAAACATTAATGGCGGACGTGGCTGAAATTTTCAAGGCTCTTTCTTCAGCACATAGCTTCAGGTAGCTGGTTTTACAAACAAAGAATACTGCTCCAACTCAGTGGTATTTTAGCTGCCAAAGTCGATTAGAGTATGACGTCTCGTCGAAACTTATGTCAAAAATTAAGCAGGCAGTGTTGAGGAGTGCTCGGAGCTCATGTTCTCAAGGCGATCCCTTAACAAAAGCTCTTGATTTCTGAGGCTGTCACCACTGCAGTTGGAAGCTTTATAGCAAATTCAAGGCGACCTCCACATACAAGATGAAATAAAAACAGAGGGTATCCAAAAGTGTTTTACAGCTACATTGCTATGATACGATTGCTTACAAGATTGCAGTTCCAGATAGAGGACCCTAAGCCGGGAACTGCCTTGAATGAAACGGCTCAAAAGTAACCTGACACTTTCTCGATGTGCCACACAAATTTACTTTTCCAGCTGGTAGTGAGTTTCAGTTCGAACACCACAGTTGTTACGACCTGCGCAACCATGCCTACCACGTCTCGGTGAACCCACCAAACCTCACTCGCGTGCAAGTTTTTTCCACAGTAAAATCTCCTCAGGTTTGGAACTGGCTGCCTGCTGAAGTGAGGGCCCCTGAGTCAATCTGTGAGTTTAGTCGGTTATTCATTAAGTTCTTATCACTTGGCAACATATCCGTCCTACTGAGTGCGCTATCTTTATCCCGTGCGGCGCTTCACATATCGGGCCCTCATAAAGTCTGAATGAGACTTATGTGGTGAATAAAATTCAAGCATTATGGTCCGAACGCAAGAAACAATTCAACGGAACCAAGCTAAGGCGATCCGGACAAGTTACTGCGTCCTACTTTTTTGAGTCATGTACAGCGGAAGGTCGTTTCAGCAATATCAAAACGCGATTTAACTCGATAGATCTGCGATTGATTTGTGGCAAATCTGTGATGCAGCCAACCAACGACAAGTTATATCGAAATTACAAAAGTACTTCGGCAATGCAGGCGGGTAACTACACAGCTCAAAGATTTCGCTGACACAGAATACTTACTATACTGCGAAAAATCAATTAACCAAATACAATCTTTAAATGCCTGAGAATCAACAAGAATATTCCCGACAAAAGGGGGGCCAGAAGTCTGTGCACAAGAATCAGACCAATCAACAAACGTCCCCAGTAGACGGTCAAAAGACAGGGGGTCACTTCACGACGCAATTTTAGAGTTGAAGGGCAATATCTGCAGATAGGGTAAAAATATTAGAATAAATATCAGCGCTGGCAAATAGAGTGCTCTGGGAGGTTTTCAAATAATTTATTCCGTTACAACTTATCCCACACCTGCTTTGAATTTTCATCCCTGGCGCCAAGGAACTTTCTCATAACTGAGCGCATCCTGCTTAACGACACAGACACCTCCCCAAGATGATAATCACAGCCAGGTCTTAAACTAGCGAAAAAAGGCGAGAGCTGAATTCTTAACTCTTTGTTAGACGAAGCAGATGTAACTAATGGTATTGTGGAGAAAGTTAAGGTGCTGAGAAACGCACAAATGGAAAAACGAGCTCCTCGTCGAACTTCCATCCTCTTTCCCCTGCCTGCTGCTTTGTCTTTCAAAGGCTGTGACATCGAAAACAAGATATTCAGTGAAAAGGACCGTTTCCAACGGATTTATTTTCAAGTTGTACATTCGTATACATATGATATTTGAAGAATGTACTCCACGAGGAAGATTTGACTCGCCTAAATAGCGGGGAGCTGAAATAATAGCAATGAGGGGGGGTTATAATAATAATGTTTTCAGTTGATGTCGTACAGGTTGGATGGTAACAGAAATGATTACACAAGATTTTTTAAGTCGTCTAAGAGGTGCCTGCAGACTGCAGGGAGGCGTAAACATAGTAGAGTAATTGACCAATCAAAAGATTAGCAAGTTATTGAAAAGGACATTCCTCGTTCGTAAATGACTTTTAATATGCTGCGATGGAAATGCTGTTGAAGAGTTGGAGTTCTATAACATTTTGATACCTGGATGGCAACTAAGAAGTGTTGATTTTATTAAACCAAGCACATTTTATACTCGGCTGTGCACATACCAAACAAATCATAGCTCCCTACCACGTTCTGAAGCAAAGGCATGCACAAGCACGCTAATTACTAGCTGTTCGCCTGTACATGAAGACATCTGGCTTTTTTCGACGGTCAGTCGCTCTCGGGAAGTGAGTCGTTAAACTGTTATTCTTTGCTAAGACACGAGGTTAGCTGTGCATGCTGAGTGGTGTCCATTGGGAATGCCATATATAGGCCGATGAATGCCCACTTTCCCCTCTGATGCATTCAAAAGGGACTCGTTTGTGGACACTTTATGATTCAAATAATGCTGAAACTTAGCCGCTTACACAATGTGTTCGCTTAACTAAAACTTGGAAGTAGCATATTTTGCTAACTGATCAGTCATACTAAGTTGTTTAATCTTTTCAAGTTGTTTACCGTTTCCATTGCTTGGCATAGTGATTTTTCAACAGTTAGGTCACGTCTCTGTGAGTTGCTGCAAGGGCTACTCTAACAACAACTGGCCTTTAGAGCCTATCGACCCTCCAGGAACCTGTATTGAAATGAATATAAAAGTATTTTGGCATCACAGTTTATAGGTGTGATAGAAAATAAGCTAACTGTCATCTCAAAAAATTGTGATCGTAACAGCACAGTTATATATAAAGAATATTCTTTGGGTGGTTATTGTTCAATGTTAATACGGGAAGTATTCTGTAGGTAATTGAAAACCAATGTTTAATGTACATTGTACCACAGGTTTACTCATCATTATAATGATCAGCCTAATTTGGTTGAAGAGTTCTGTTACATTTATTATATTGAATGTAGCAGAACTCTTCAACCAAGTTCGGCTGATTCAGACTTGTTATTTGAGGATCGAAGGATTTGAGCCTATATAAATCTCTTTCCAGTAGGTTTCTGTACTTGTCCAATCCCCTTTTGAACGAGTCAATTGATGATGCGGACACCACTTCTTCTAGGAGTCGGTTCCAGTTGATTACTCGACGCGCTAACCAGTACTCTTCGGAGACTGTGTTCGTTCTTTGGTTTTGCAGCCTCCTACTATATCCTCTGAGGTGTTCCAACCTGTTGGGAAGGAAAAGAGAAGATAGATAAGGTCCGAAGTCATATTTTAGAATCTTGTATAGCATGGTTAGGTCTCCCCTCTGTCTGCGATAGGATAAAATGGAGGTTCAGCTCCCAGCCATCGCAGGGATCATATGAGTGGCTGCCCTCTGAACTCTTTCTAGAAGGTCTACGTCACCTTTCAGACAAAGATTTGCAGCCTGTTTACTTTTTTTTCTAATTTAGACCTAGCTAAAGATGTGCATAAGATAGTGAACATGTCACCACTTATTTTCGTAAATGTTCCACGTAATGCTCAGAGAGTCCTAAAATTCCAAGGTACTACCAATCGACAGTGTGCTGTGGTTTTCGAGTCATAACTCACTGTGATTCCTATTTCATTGTGGGTCAGTACTGAGATTAGAGGAGTCACGCCAATATCGTAGGTGCTGCTATGTATGCCCCAAGGGCATGCTCACACATTCACCTTCACTGACAGGCATCAGCCACTTCTCTAACCTGGTAAACAAGCTGTTTAGGTCTGCCTGGAGAGCACGTATATCCTCATCGTTCCTAATTTCCCACCAGATTTTTATATCATCAGCTTAGAGAACCATAGGAGATTCCGTGATATATGGCAGATCATTTACGCATAGGAGAAACAGCACGGGGCCCAGGACTGTACCTTGCGACACTGCACACTCTACCGACTTCCAGAGGAGAGTTGAGAATTGATCCTTACTCTTTGTCTCCTACCAATAAGGAACTCTCTTATCCATGCAAGCAGACCGCTAGTGATTCAGAAACTTTCCAGTTTCCCGAGCAACCTGGAATAAGGTGTCTTGTCTAACGCCTTATTAAAGTCTATGAAAATGACATCTACCGGTATCCTATCACCTTTAGACTTAACCCAACTTTCTCTGGCTGTAAAAAAGGTTCGTCAAGCAAGAGAAATTCCTACGAAAACCATACTGTGAACATGACATTAGAGTGCTGCTCTCTAGGTGGACTGTGACGGATTTCTTCAATACTCTTTCTAGGATTTGTACCACAGTACCAGTCAAACCTACCGGTCTGTAATTTGATGGGTGGTGCCTAGAACCTGCCTTGTGGATAGGTATTACTATGGCATCCTTCCAGTCATAGAGGAGTATACCTTCACTGAGAGACAATCTAAATATAGTAGTCAGTCGGCTGGCTACATAGATTTCAAGCTATCTAAACAGCCTTGGGTGCAGTCTATCTGATCCCGTTGATTTTTCCACGTAGGGATTACTTAATATCCAAAATACATCGTTGCGATCGATATCTAGAGAGTTTATTCTGTTGGTTGTCAATTCTTCTACGGCTTGATTCCTGTGCGAAGACCTCAGCAAAATATCTGGTCATGGTTTCTGCTTTGTTCCTATCGTCCTCAATTATACAGTCAGTTGCTGTCCCATTGATTAAGGTGGGTATACCACTACATATCTTATTTCTATAGTTCATATCGGAAAATAACCTCTTCGGATGTTGCGTTGCAGCCTGAGCAAGACGTGTTTCAAAGCATATTCGACACCAGCAGATAACAGTGATACATTTATTTCGGACTTCTTTTTAATGCTTCATTACTTTGGGTGTACCGAGGTGGGTGGCAAGGCTCCAACACTTTTTCTTACGTCGTAGCGAGATCTGGATTTCCTCTCGGGACAGTGCACGGGATGAACGGTTGGGTCTTTTGTGCATATAACTGTTTGAAGGAGCACCACGCACCTTCAGCTGAGGCTTCTGGATTGACTGTTCAGTCCACCGAAGAGGTTGCCAAGTTAATAGCTTCCATATTTGCTTCCATATGTTGGGTCTAGCTGGGGCATCGGCCTGGTGCAAGACATCTGCTGTGAATCTGAAGATGATTACAGCGTGATCACTTTTACCAAGGTGTGCTAGATGCCGGATGAAGCATAACTTATCTGTGTGTGAGAATACTAGGTCCAGAACTGCTGGAGTATGCTCATGATTATATCTGGTTGCTTTCCTAATGTGGTGTATGAGGGCTGAGGAAATTGATGTTTCCACTAACCTGTGATCAAACGAATTACGTCTTGCTTTTGTTGTCAGTCTATCCCAGTCAACTGATGGTGCATTGAAATCTCCTACAACTAGACATTGGCATTTATCTGTTTAGAGTGTTAGCTTATTCAGGAGGAAGTCTGCTGCCTCACATTCAGGGCTTCAATATACTGCGATTACGTTAACATCTTATCCCTTGCATTTTGGTTGGCGGGGCAGCATTTTACATGTCTCGATTTCACGTGCAACCGTTTCAATGGCTTTTACAGGTAAGGTGTTCCTAACGTAAAGGATGACACCACCATCTTTGCGTGCTAAGCTGTCACTTCTTGAACACCAGCTAAATGTAGAATCGTAGCTCTCAAAGACTTCCCGATTTTGTGAGAAGCCTTCCATGACTCTGACAAAAATACGTTTCAAATCCTATGCCTGATGCATGTAATACCCCATTTAGAGTATTGGATTCATACAGAACTCTCATGTTCCAAATATGCAGATGATATATTACGGTTAATCACGAGGATGGATTTAAGATAGTCAAAGGGCTGTCCAGCTTCTTTTACCAAAGAAGACTGGATAAATTATATCTTTTTCCGTTGTCTTACTGTATGATGAGTGATCTTATTTTAATGTGTCGTATTTTGAATAATGATTTACACTCTGACCTATGGTTTTTATTCTTCCCCTCTACAACTGTTCATCCTATAGGACTTCATCTAAGAGTTCACAAACCATTTTTGAATCGTTTACGTTTGTACATGCATTTTGCCCGCAGAATTATAAACCACTGGAACGCTCTGCTGAAAAGCATGGTATCTTAGCCGTCTGTTGACACTTCCAAAGCGAGATCGAACCTCCACAGTACTACCATCAGCAAAGGTTAATATAAGTCATTGACTCACTATCCTCATTTCTGAAAACTGAATACTTGTTGGGTAATTGAGTAAAAAGCACCAAATTAGCAGCACTTTGGCAAGACTAGTTGTTATAGATATAATATGACCTATAAGCTATAGAATGCAGTCGATAATATATGCAGTAAGAAAAGTGGATTGGACTATTTAACACCGGACCTGGACTTCAAAAAACGTTTAATTTAAACTTCTAATATTGAAAAGTTAAATTAATTATAATAGACAAGCATGATGATAAGTCATTCAAAGATGACCACCTGTCCCAGTAAACCGAAGGATTTAGACTGTCAATGAAAATAGAGGCAAACAATGCGAATACCCCCGTATTTCAGATTGCTTTGGCTTTCACATTACTAATCTCCATGCAAAAGGTAAGCAAGCACAAATCTCGTATATACTATTGTGCTCGTCTTTAGAGTTTAGTTTAAGGCCTATCTGCAAAGGTAAAATAACTTCATTGCTATTCGGGTTATTGGCAAAATACCGTACGTCAAAACTTTAGTGAGTAAATTTCACTATTTATCTAACGTCACTTTATCAGAACTATCAAAATAAATGTCCTGTTTGATGATGGGAAGATTTTTCAGATTCCGCAGTCAGGATAAACACCATCGCTTACATATAGTCAAGTCCTCATAGAAAAAAGAATTCTAGCACTTTTATCGATACGATGAAATACTTTTTACTTCTACATATTTTAATGCAAACCGATTGTTTACCGTACACAAAGTAATACAGAGGAGACATGATGGCATATAAGAGATTTTTATTGTACTGCAAAGTGCAAAAGACAGTAACGAAATGTCACTTTTGCCCTAAACAGTGTGCAACTTTGTCATTTATATTCACACATTAGGACTCACTGCCAACCTTGTACAAGAAATAGGAGTTATTTTCCAAAGAATGTACTTCGGAAAAATAGAGTTCTGCTAACAACTATGTTTGATTCTTTTAAGTTATAATGTATATGTGCAGCCAATAAAATGTGATAAATGCTTGTTTACAAATCATATATCATAATCTAAATCACTGACTTTTCTCTCTATGTTTCTGATCAAAAACGAAGTTTTGGATTTCTTGAGATAGGGCCTTGTTATCCAACTTAGCAAGTGGTACTAAATGCTTACATACAGATTATTTATCGGTCTGCATAAAGACAGCAACTTATTAATTATATCGGACGAAAAAGCTGTCATCTATGACAAAGATCAAGTTTCCACCTTTAATATGGGAGCAGCTGGTTAGCTTTCTGCCGACATCCCATCTATACGAGGTTCGTAGTATCCTAGGTGAAGACATTGTCGATCAGACTGTGGAACTGAAATGCGAAGTAATCTAAGACGTCTTATTTTTAACAGTCTAAAGGTTATTTCATTTTTAGAAATAGTCAAAGATAGTGCCCTTGCCACCAAGTCTTTTCAGGTTACAGCCCCTCATCCATCAGCCTGCCCAGAATATGCAGCTGACATCAGACGTTTTGCCACTCTTTATTTGGGAGATACTAATAAAAAGTAAGTTAAATACTGTATGCTGCAAATATGTGGCAGGTTGAAGCAGGAAATCAAAAACCAAGTTACTTATCATTTAAAAGGTGAGTCTTCTGAACCTTTATGTAACACTTTTAATTCATTTATTTGATTTTTAATGCATAAGGAGTCACTTAAACTTTAGCTAAGTCAGAGCAATCAGGTCAATTTTCTTACTTGACACTAACCAACGCATTTCACTGAATTTTACATATGACGACATATACAAGGTCGTAAACAGAGTTGTTTCATATATTACGAAATGAATTAGGTTAAAGATATTTTAGGACAGTTATTTACATTAAACTAGAAAGAATCAAAATTCCAACTAAGTGTTCGCACGCCTCATTGAACTTGGCAGGATCCTATCCATTGAATATCAATTTAAACTCTCAATTGAACTTCAGTTTCTGCACCTATTTGCCTATCGTTTTGATAAAATCTGTCTAGAAATAATTTTGTTTTATTCACCAGATCACAGTCAACTGTGAACAAAAATGCACCATAGTGATGTGTTTTTATACTTTGAGAAGCCAGCATGCTAGGAGTGGTATAAAAATATCGGAAAAACACTTATTACTACTATAAAATGAAAACTGACAAGAATTTTCTAACCTTATTATCAACGTTTCTACTATCTATGGATATGAAACATATGAAAGTTGATGAGCTTAACCCTTAGAATAGGCTTATATTAGATTAATGAAGATACCGGCCGAAAGTATAAGAGTGAATTTATTATTCATAATAGATCCTTAAAGAATAAAAGACTATATTGTTTCTTTAGGTACTTATTAACAATCTACACCTGTCCTAGAGACTGTAAACTATCGAAGTTAAGGAACTCCTTGTTAGTTGTACACTTGTTACTCTTTTTGGAATTCAACATACATTAATATAGGTGTAAAACTTGGGCACTGTGTAGAATTTAATTCCATATTAGATTTGTTTATTTAATTTATAACACATAGTGATATAGTATGATTTACTTGATGACGAAGTTTCGAGCATAAATTATTCAGATTCAGATCTGAATCTGAATTATCAAGAACATCATATGGTTTTTTCCATTAGATATGAAAGTGAGGTGAAACATCTTGAGAACTTTTCTTTAGATATAACTTTATAGCTTTATCTCATACATGTTTCTTTCGGCTTAATTGAAAATAGGAAGTTCACACAATAATGAGGATAATTACTTTTAAAGCAGCATACTGATAACCTTACCACAATTACGATAAGCATATGTCGGTTCTTTGTTCTTGATAAGAGGTTTTTCAGTGTCATCTTTCATATTTCACTGTCAAAATAGGATGATATATCACTAAAATGTAATATGCACTAAATTATAACGGTACCCCAAAGTGAATTCTACAAAATGGTCTTGCTAGACAAAAGCATTGACAATATCCAAGATTTTATAAATGCTCTACTTGAAAATCTGAGTGTTTTGCGTGGTTTTCTTAACCTTCAGGTACAAGATGATGCTTTAGTAATGGGAAGTAATGACGCGAAGTCTGATACTATGGAGTATATTGGTTGAATGCCTCAGTCAGTCCATCCAGTTGACGAAGTTTCAGTAGGAGCATAAAACATGTATTTGACATTAACCGGTTTACATTCTCCTGTCACCGTTCACATTTTAATTCGTTATAGACGTACTAATAGACATAACCTTAGGTAAGCCTGACTTCACAGGAACTGACCTACTTGCAGGAGGTCATCTAGCTGGCTTAGAGTATGCAGAAAATATTGTCCTGCTAGGTGAAAACATTGACGCAATGCAGGTCTTCTAAATATGTTGAGCAGAAATCTGAGTATGTTAGCTTGACATGGGTTTCGCACCTGTGAAATATAATATGATGCCCTGAGACTGGTCGACTGCAAGTACTTTCAGTTTAATGATAAGGTGTGAAGTGATGCAATATGTCGACCACTTCACTTAATTGGGAAGTTGCATCAGCCCGAACAGGCTGGTTGTTTGCTGACGAAATCTCAGCTGGGATACAGAAGGACATTTTGGCATTTGCCAACATGTTTCACCTGTGGCACCGACTAGTGAGATACCCGACTATCTATCAGGGGCAGGTTCACTTCGCTGCGGCTGTGAGACATGGCCGTTAAAGGCAGAAAACATGAGGCGATTACTGAATTTTGATCACAGATGTCTTCGTAGCGTTCTCGCATTTAGTGGAATCATAGCGTGAGCTATACTGAGGTCAGGTTAAGGGTACTAGTCAAGACAGGTAAGTTGATTGATGAGGTTTTGAACCCTAGTTGGCTGAAATGGGTTGGATATTTGCTACACATCCCAAGCCACCAACACCTACATTGACGCACCATGTTAGGGGAAGTTAGATTAGGTTTGAAGAGGGTTCAGGTTGGCCAGACGAAGACCTGGCACCGGTGTATGAAGCTCCTGACTGCTGATATGAGCCGTGTGGGTAAATATAAGCTACCTGGCTGAGGTCCTCCATACTAAGGAGTCTGTGGTTGAGGACAGCTGGTGACATGGCTGAAAATCAGTTTGTAGTTGCGCAGATGTATTTACTCCTAAGCATCTTCTAAAACTTGAATATTCGCACTAACATTTACCTTCTCACACAATTTATCTACTCTGACATCCGTTTTTTCTATCTACTTGTTCTTTGTATACCACTATGAAGTGTGATAAGTTAAGCCGATGCACCTTTTTGCGAGATTCTACGTTGACTTTGTTAGTCAGTCTAATATATATCCTTATACACGTCACCTTCCAGTGCACTATGTTTTGTTCATATTTTCTTACTTTAGCAACCATATAGTAGGATAAAGCAGAAGCACTTCCGACAGGTAGTAGAATTAGGGAATGAGCAACATTTAGCTGAATGGTAGGAAAAGCGGGTAGGTAAATTAATGGACGTAAAATAACTCAGGTGTCTGAGACATGAATTACTCACAGATATCACTCTGTTAGATTATCTAGGATTTTGTTGGATGAAAGCTAAAGATGACCAGACGAAAACATGACACTAATACATGAAGTATCTAGTTGTTGACATTTTCTGTATACGGCAGTATAGGTTGTCTTGCTAGGATCCTTGAGATATTAGAAATCAACTGTTGGAAATGCTTGATGAAATATTTTAAACCTACCACAGTTTCACAAATTTATACGCTGTTTATGAGTTAAATTGTCAACATTTATTGTCTTATTAACTTTGTGCTTGTTACTTTTCACTTTTATACCAAAGGATAGTTCAGCAGTATGAACTGCTGCAATTCTGTTTTATATTTTGTAACAGTGAAATACTCTTAGTTCTTTTTGAATTTCATATACACTAAGGTCGCTTTAAAATAGGGGAACAATTGAGAAATAAAATGAACAAGATATCACCTCTCGGTGGGTTAGTCTGTCTTGAAGCTACACCACAATATTATTGTGCTGAAATTGAGTATGCTACTTGTCTTTATTAGAATATGAAAAATTCATTTATTAGCCAATACAGAAATTTGATTGATCCTTGATAGTATATTGTGTCCACTCATAGGTGCTTGCATATTACCTGTGATCATTTCTCTAATAATATTTGGTTGTAGCACATTTGAGACTCATTAACTAAAAAATTCTGCATCTCAATGAGTTTGTTTTCTGAATGATACTGGAATTCATTATTTCTTCCTTGAAACTCCAAAATTTAGTAGATAGCCTTATAAAATATATTTTCTAAAGATGAAAGAGTAATAACAATTAATGATTCATTTTATTTTGTCTCCTTCCTAGATGAATCTGAGCTTGAAAATTCGATTAAAAGGATAAGGTGATTTATTACATTTGGTTTCGACCCTTTTATTCTATTTCCTAATGATTAATAAAAAGTATGTTTTAGTAGTGGAACTGAATGAGCTGAGCTACGCTTAGGATATTTTTGGTTTCCTAAATTTTTCTGCATGGCTTTATCAAACACTGCATAGACCTTCAATCATTGGACATACTCACTGCTTCAATCAAGATTTCACCAACAGCTGGAGAAATGACGGTTTTTGGTAAACTGATAAATGACTTGGTTATTAACTTTCAGGATGTTGGAAACCACGAAGTGCGAACCGCCTACATATTCCCAGAAGTTAAAAAATCCACTTAACTCTAGCTCACCTTCCTTACCTTTGTCTGTTTCCTCGCCCTCACTACTTGTTTCTGCTTTTTGAGGTAGTATTCATTACGGAATGTCATCATTTGGAGAACTATTGAAAACCTATGAGCACTGGACAGCTGTTTCGACCTAGTGTAGGACTCCTCAAAATTCAAATCCCTATTAACCTCAAAATACATTACTGTATAGTGGCCACTAGTGACTTGCTTCCAGGTGGATATCCCGAAGTTCTAATAGGAAACCGTAACCTGTGCGGTCAACCAGTCGTCATCATCATCATCATTATCAACATAGGACCAGGCATTACTGCGTAACGGTCCGAGTTGCCACACCTCATATCAGCACATCAAGTAAAAAGGTAGTGAGGTGAAGGATGAAGATAAGTGAATGCAGTCAAAAGAAATATAAAGTACGAGAAGAAAGGAAAGAGGAGTGACAAAATAGTGAGATTCGGTATAGCGTTGTTAAGATGAGGATAATGTGTGTATACATCTGCGCCACTGACTTCGGTTCTGAGCCATATCACCTAGGGTCTCCAACCACTGGTTCCTCTTGTCCCGTGGACCCCAACCACCTAGTCTGCATCGTCCTACATGGCTTAAACCAACAGTCAGAGACTTCATACATTGGTGCCATGTTTTAGTCTGGCCACCTCGGGCCTTTTTCCAGCCTGAACCCACCTCAGCCAACATTGTGTGACGAGGCAATCGGTGACTAGGCATACGTAGTACGTGTCCCAACCATCTCAGTCGATGAAGGTTCACAACCTCGTCGACTGACTTACCTCTTCTCCCTAAAACTCTACACCTAACTTCTGCATTACTCACATGGTGACACCACGGAATACGTCCTATACTACGAAGGCAACGGTGGTCAAATACCTGTAACCTTCTCATGTCTTCCACTTTCAATGGCCATGTTTCACAGCCATACAGTAGAACAGAGCGGACTGCTGTGCAGTACACGCGACCCTTAATAGACAAACGAATATCACGGCGGCGCCATAGGTGGCGCAAATTGGCAAAAGCCAATCGAGCCTTTTGTATCCGTGCAGAAATCTCATCGGCAACTAACCCACCGGAGTTGATCCTACTTCCCAGGTAAGTGAAGTGGTCAACACACTCAACCACTTCACTCTCTATTGTTAACCGCGGTACCGCTGAAGACCAGTCCTGGAGCAAAAATTTGCATTTGGGTGGTGAAAATCGCATCCCAAACATTCTCAAATTCCCACTCAAAGTGTTCAGAAGACTCTGCATCTTGTCAGCGTCTTCACCTAACAGGACTATGTCATCTGCATATTCTAGATCTAAGGAAAATTCACCTGTGATCCGGTCAACGTCTTTGTAATTAGGTGACGAGAGGGAAACCTCCATAAGAATATCTATGATAAAATTAAATAAGAATGGGGATAGTGGGCATCCTTGACGGACACCACTTGATGAGTATAGCTCCCTGGACAACTCACCATAGGCTCTAACATGCCCACAAGTGTTCGAGTAGAGAGCTTTCAATAAGGTGATGTACTTACTAGGCACGCCTTTCAGTGACAGACACTGCCATAAGACTTCTCGATCAACGGAGTCAAATGCCGCCTTCAGGTCGAGAAATACAGCTATTGTCGGGCGTCTGTAAGCATGCCTATGTTCCAGGACCTGGCGCAGTGTGAATATTTGGTCGATACATCCACGGCCAGGTCTAAAGCCTGCCTGGTTTTCTCGGGCTTGCTGTTCCCGAGCTCCACTCAGGCGTCGGAGAATTATAGAACTTAGGATCTTAGACACTATGTTTGTCAGGCTGATTCCTCTGTGGTTATCACAAGAGGACTTCTCGCCTTTCTTGAAGACTGGGATGATCAGTGACTTAGACCAGTCGGAGGGGATCGTATTTGATTCCCATATACTGGCTAACACTTCCGTTAGCCTGACTAAGAGAACTCTACCACCATTCTTGTATACCTCAGCAGGTAGTCCGTCTGGTCCTGCTGCCCTTCCCCGTTTCAGGCTACCTACCGCTTTCTCAACTTCTTCTAGTGTTGGGGGACCTGTCTCTATGTCCCATTCAGGGTCCGACTGGATAGCGGGCAGCGCAATGGTGGCTGGAGGCCAGTTAAACTGTTCCTCAAAGTGTTCTGCCCATCGTCCCAGTCGCCTTCCCTGCGAGTGAATCGCCGATCCGTCCTTCTCCGCTATAACCTCACTAACTGTTGTTGACCATTTCCCCCCAGTCTCCTTAATAAGTCTAAATAACTGTCTACTGTTACCGATCGCCGCTGCCTTTTCCATCTCTTTAGCCTTTGCTGCCCACCACTGTTCACGATCGTTGCGCAGACTTTTCGTCAGTTTATTTTTAAGTTGCGCTCGCTCTTCATTGTACTCAGAGCCTGCAGGGATGCATTCACGTGCATCCATTAGTTTGGAAGAAGCTGCTGATATCCACTGGCTCTTTTTAGCCATTATCTTGGAGTCGGCTACAGTCTCCAGTGCTGCTTTTACAGTAGACTGAAGATGGCACCAAGCTTCTTCTGGATGAGTGACAGTCTTTTGTTCCGATAACTGCCTAGCCAACTTCTCACTGAACACGGCTTTGGTGTTTTCGTTGTCCAGCAGAACTCGTAGTGGTTTTGTTGCCAAATTTTTTCTACGTCCATTGAGACGCAGGCATATACGTGCTCGGACCAACGCATGATCGCTGTCCAAACACGTACTCCAGAAGGAGCGGCAGTCTTCCACCGATCCTCTCCAGCGATGACTAATAGCAATGTGGTCTATCTGTGTCCATCGCTGAGTCGAGCTCGGTGGACGCCAGGTCAGACAGTGCCTTTCTTTATGTCTGAAATTTGTGCTGGCTAAAAATAGGCGGTTATCTGAGCATAGTTGTAATAGGCGATCACCGTTATCTGTACGTTCAGCTGGGATTCCGAAAGTGCCACCTAAGTGCCTTTCTGCCTCACTCAGTCTACCCACCTGTGCGTTGAGGTCACCTGCAACAACCACTACGTCCGAACGTTTGGCTTTCGAGAGGAGGTTAGACAGTTTATGGTAGAACTCGTCCTTCACTTCATCCGAACTACAGTCAGTGGGTGCGTAAGCAGAGATTACAAAGAGACAACGGCGAGTCTCACTATTCCTTTTAGTTCTCACTGTGCCGTTCAGCCTCATAGCGCAGAGGCGACTATCAACTGGGATCCAGTCTAGTAGTGAGTTTTCTGCCCTGGTGCTTAATGCTATACCTACACCTGCAAGACCACGAGAGCTAGCTATCGAATCTCCAGAAACTCGAAGGGTGAATTTTGCAGATTCACCAGATTGGTCAGGAGAGGTCAGGTGAATAACCACACTTGGGTCCTGTATGCGTGTCTCACAAACACAGCACACATCCATGCCTCGAGTTGCTAGAGTCTTTGCCAACGAAGCCTGTTGGCCAATTTGACGGAGGGTGCGGACATTGAAGGCTCCAATATGTAATTTGGAGCGTGGTTTAAGGAGACCAGGGACGCTGTTCTGTGGACTCAGATCGTTGTCGAAGGCTGCAGAGGTAGGAGAAATTGAAGATGATGCAGCATCATTAATTAAGAGACGTGAAGGAAGATTAGAAGGTAATGATGGAGGAGGAGGATAGCAGTCAGAAGAAACTTGGGTGCTGACAGAGTTGTGAGGGCGGTTGACACTTCCCGGCTGCCCACACCGTGGAAGGCTATTTCTTCTTAAGGTACCTGAAAGAGATTTGTGTGACCGCAGAGCCCATCGGACATCTGCTTGAGGCCTGTCACACCCAGCCTTTTGAGTATGATTATTTTGAATTTTTGTATTTTTGGGGCCGGATGAGCGAAAGGAAACGACAAGTGAACCAACACCGCCGGCCCGGCAGACCGTGGGGCGTGGTGGAGTGTGTTATTTTTGGGGCCGACCTTTTCTAACCCCCCCTTCCACTGAGAAGGCAGCATCAGCTTGGCACTGCTGGTCATCCAAGGGAAACACCTTACTGCTGTCACACCCCATCCAGCTAGCAGCAGTACGACTTCGCCCTCAGACCCCCATCATAGTGTAGCAATTTACACTATGACGGTAACTGCTTTTCGTCTAACCACTACCCAACAGACCTTTCTGGTATGGTAGGACCTCGAGGGAACAAGCGTTCCACCAGCATAGCTCGTTGGGTCATTGTGATATGCAAGCCCGACCACCACGTCAAGGTAGCAGCTATCGGTCGGGGGTCAACCAGTCGGAAGGGAAGCGAATGACGATTCAAGACCTTTGGTGATAGTCGCTCTGTATCGCGAACTCATAGAAGTTAAAAACTGTGAAGCAATGAACTCCTACCAAGTGGCTGGATAGTTAACGCATTCACTGTGAAATATGAAGGCGCTGAGTTCCACCCCTAACCGAGTCTTGGGTGCTTACCCTTGAGGAGTCCCATACTAGGACAAAACAGCTGTCCAGTGCTCCCAGGTTTTAAATGGTTCTCCGACTGCTGTCAGTCCGTAATGAGTACAACCCCAAAAGTTGCAGGTGGGATAGTATTGTTAGCAGATATATCACACAAATAGTGCACGTTAATGATGACAGAAATTCATTATTGTCAGCTGAATATTACGTAGTCCCAAAGTACTAAAGATAACTTTGAAGAAAAAGAAAGCAAAAAGCTAGAACAGTTATATTTAAGTGGATTTTCTGTCATGTTTTGGAAGAAGCTTAACCTAGCTTTTCTTGATGATTATTTTTTTAAAGATTCTTCTGTTCCCTGCCGTCCAACAATAACAAACATTTAGATTTTGACGGTGTTGTGTTCCTGAGACGGATGGTTTAATCGTGAACCTTGATACATTTGTCTTTATTAAAAGAAACGAATTGAAAAACGCTTACAAATTAAGCAGCAACATTTATGACGACATCAAATTCACAATTGAAGAGGAACCAATAACAAACTTTTATTTTTACATGTTCTCACCATTAGAACCGATTCGGGGAACTCGGAAACTGAAGTATACAGAAAACCGACTCATAAGGATCAAATCCTCAACTACAATAGCAGCAACCTGTATTATATATTATTCGTCCCTTGGGTTCCTAGTGGAACATAGGGCTTCAGTAGCACGTCTCCATTTCTTTATCTTCTCTTCAGTCTTTTGAACCTTGCTCCACGACTGCCCAGAAACTTTCATTTCTTCCTCACATGATCTCCTACATGCCACCCTCAGCAGGGGTGCCCAACTCTTCGTTTTCTGTGCGGGTTCCACTCGAGGGCCTGGCGCGGCGCGTGATGTCTCCGAATGGTTTTCTCAGTGTATGTCCAATCCATCTCCACTTTCTTCTGCATATTTGTTGGGCGATGGTTTCTTGGTTGGCTAATTCCCAGGGCTCCTTGTTGCTTATTCTTATTATTCTGGCCATCTGGTATTCAGTGTCAGTATCGAGTTAGAGAGCATAGGCGGCAGCTATTTATGAATGTCTGTAGTTTTTTGGAAATGCTTTTCGTGACGCGCCAAGTTTCTGAACCATATAGAAGCAGTGACTTGACTGAATTAGTGTTGAATATCCGGATCTTGTTCCTTATGCTAAGTGCAGTAGATCTCCACACTGGTTTCAGATTAATGAAGGCTTTTCTTGCTTTCCCTATCCTGGCTTTGACGCCCTTATCTGTGCCGCCAGTAGTTGAGACGAAGCTACCTAGGTAGGTGTAGGTGAAAGAGACTAGTTCATTTAAGTTTCTCCCGTTGATGGTGATCGGTGCTTGTTGTTGTTGATGGTAGTGTTGGTTGGGTATCTTCATCACCTCTACCCCTGTCTTCTCTACATTCACTTGAAGTGCCGTCTTCGCTGCACTGCCTCTTCTGTCAACTTGTTAGTTTTCACCTGTGGTTCTTCGAGTTTGTGCCACAAGACATTAGACACAATCATCATCATTGGCGGCGAAATCCAAATCTTCGTCTGGGGTCCTTTCATTGGCCCAGCCAGCGTATGCCCATCTTCTCGCTCCTCACGGTTTGCTGCATGATCCAGTCCAGTCTAGTCGACCACAATCATGAAGATCATGAGTGATAGTGGGCAGCATTGTCTTACAGCAACAACCTAATAGCACACAAAATCGACTGAATAAAAACATTGTTCAAAAGAACCAGGACACACACCAGCACATCAACCCTGCGGAGAAAAGAAGAAAACTATTTAATGACTGTTTTCTGAAGAATGGCTATCCATGCAACTTCATCAAATGACATTTACATAATTCGTCGTCAGCCGTGACAACCAACAAACAGATTGTTCTACCCTACATGAAGAACGTCTTCGGGGTCATGACTGGATTATTGAAACTTTAGGAGTCGTAGTATCTTGCAAGTCCACAAAATCTCTTCACTCTGTGCTATGTAACCAAAAAGTATAATAGCAAAGGAAGACAAACTTTCTGAATTTTGTGCTGATGATGTCTAAGATGACAGTGAAGGCTTCACGAATAAACCATCTCGCTTGGAGAACACAACACTATCAAAATTTGAAAAAGTTCTAGGAAGATAACTGCCCATAACTAGTCTAAATTCCAGTCGGTGACTTGCCGTTATAATTCATAGTCAAGTACAAATTATATTTATTGGTTAGACCTGTATGTAGCTATTTTCACTCGAACAGTTAAAAAGTATATTTTCCATCACAAAAAAAATAGGTTCGAAACAATATATGAAGTGAAATTTCTGTCTTGTGAACAATTTAAGATTAAAATATTAGTCAAAGGGTTGTATTCTGCTGTTTGGTTATTTTATACTTCTTACGGCTCAAAAATACAAAATATTCACTAAAGTTCGCCTATATTAGTTTTTCTCACTTGTACATAAATTCTTGCAAGGGATTTAAGAAGTAGAAGTGAATAAATGTCTAACTATAGTTAAGTTATTCATTCGCAGTGTTCATCTTACTTTAAATTTTGACTGATTTGCTGTTTCACTCCTATTCATACCAAGTGTATCCTAAACATTTCGCTAATGAAAACCAGGAATTGAAATATTTTAATGTTAAATCCAGAGTTTATCTACCCATCTGTTAGATAATTCTTTCATCTACATCTTATAAATCTTGTTATTATCATCATTTATACTTATTCTCCATATTTCCTTTTCTTTGGATACCTTAATGAAGTATAATTCAATGTTCAATAATTTTACTCGTTAAAGTGCGTAGTGAAATAGTAGTACTAAATAATGGGTAACTTTTCGAGAACAATTAATGTTTCATTATCATACCAAAGACCCCATAATGCAGCCACTTTTATATCATGAGTGATAAATTGTGGTTCGAAAACCGCCTAGTAACAATACTGTATCACTATGCATTTTTGTTAAAATCAGGTTATCCAAATTATAAGACAATCCTTTTTTGGGATCTAATAGGTTCTTATTACTGCCGATGCCATTTTGATGTCACTGTTACCGCACTTGTTGACTTCCTTCTTGACGCGTTGATGTGAAGTATGTCAATTTGGATCCATATATATTATGATAGACCTCTGTTAGCATACGGGCTAGCATTCGGATACCTCAATATTGCCTGACTTTTCATTATGTTGTAATTTGCTTAGTGATAGAATCCAGCATGCGCGTTTCTTCTTAATTGGAATTCGTCGCCACCAAGCAAATTACAACCAACTAAGCAACCAGGCAATATCGAGACATGCGCATGCGAACGTATATGCTGACAGAGGTCGATTAGTCAGATTCAGAATAACAACAGGAAATTGCAAGTATAAATAAATAGGTTTAGGGCCTATCTAATGAAAGAACTAATAATGGTCAATATCACGATATTATAAATGAGTGTGGACACGAAAATTCCGTTCTTAAATAATGTCATTAGCAGAAGAGCTATGAGAAATCGCAAACTGTGATGTACATAGAAACCGCACACACAGGCACAGACATCGATGGAATTTAGAACTATGGTAGTAATCACCCAAAAACCAGTAAGACATTTTGTGTGTAAACACTATTCTCGAGGGTTAAGACACGTTGCATAGCTAAAGCTTTGCGGAAAGTGGAAGAAAAATACCTGCACAGTCTTCAAAGCCGATGACTATCTCCTCAACTTCATAAGAAGGTGTTTGTCTGCATAATGGAGAACTACGCATCTGCCTCAAATCAGCAAGCGTGTTTAATCGATTCTACTACATCATGGACGTCTCGAAGACTATCAACCGTCACTAATTAAAAGAATACTCAGGGAGAAGAGAATCATCTGTCAGCCAATTGAAAACTGGCCAAACAAACCGATAATCAACCACAGCAATATTAGTGAATGCCACAGCCTTACTTTCAAAAAGACTTTTGCAGAGCAGCCCAATGAAGCTTAAGGTGAGAGAGGTGGATGTGTGCCGAAAATCTCTACCCCAAGTGATGAATGCGCAACATTCAAGGTTAGCAAAACCACTATCTAAGCAATCGTCTAACATCTGAACATACTTTACTTCTTTGTGAAGTTAGTTATGATGGCATCACCAAATCCGGTGAGGAAGTGCTCACTACAAAATATCAAAGCCTAAAGAACGCTGAACAGTCGTTTCTCACCGCCTCAACTAAAAATATTTTGCATCATTTCAACATCGGATCGAAATAGTGCAAGGCATTCGTGGTAGGAGAAAGTTTCGAAAAAATTATTTACCAGCTACCTTCGTTAAGTAGCTAACAAAACACAAATAAGTAGTCCTAAGAATATTGACCATCACTTTTTATTTGTTTGGTAGACAAAATAAATCGGAGCTGTAGTAACATACTTTATCCAATATTATATTGTCCCGGATAGTCGAAAAGTGCTTAATGTTTCCTCTAGAGTGGTCAGCTGATTGTGCTAGACTAAATTTATTCGAATCTCTCTTTTGTGTTAGTTTCTTTAATACCTTTTTACTTCCCTTATGACAACCAATATATTTGAGGTATGAATTTTGGTTTTTCTTCTGAATACCTCTAATAGTTACGATTGATGGTGCCAGTACATCTTAGTCATATCGTGTAGTGTCATTCACGCCATTACCTATTTTTTGTATTGAGATTAGCTTCAAGAAACAGAACGGCACTAAATCTGTGACTATGGAATGAATGATAGTTGCACTAGGTCAGCATTAGTTTGCTTGTTTTGAACCCCTGAATCAGATAGAAAAGAATGCACAACCAGTGTTTTGAGGCCGTCAGATAAGACATACAGTTGAGACCAATCGACACGATGCCACACTTTTCTTGTGTCTGCAACTTTTGTAAAGCAACACTAAGGTAATAGACGTTTATTTAAGAGCACGTTATGTGATTGTTCCTCCTTCAGTTCTTGTTTGTGTTTTGATTAACACAAGGCATAAAGATTCAGAAAGTTCTAGCAGCTATAAGCTGACTGACCATAACATTATATAACTTAGATTGTGTTTCATTTAAACCGTTTATTTCTCCTTTGTTTTTCAGAGATGGATTGAGTAAAGAAGTTTCATATTTAGAAAAATATTTACAAGATATGCAGGTAAATCCCCACTCATCTTATCTATAAAGCTATTCATATCCTACAGTTTTTCATTTTTTGTATTCCTAAAAGCAAGTGATTAACTGTCTAACCGCAACGCAGATTTGGAAGAAAACGAGATCTTGACTAAAACTTAACTTCTCTAAACGAAAGATGAATTATTATGTTGAATAAAATATTGCGAATCAAGCTAAGTTATAAACGCTGTTTTTTTCTTCTCACTGTTACGTGCAAGAAAGTCTTTGTTTTACCTAACAGAACTACTAGGTCGTGGTTTCAGGGTTATAAGATACGAAAACTAAAAGTTCTATTGAAAAGAAACAGGATTCAATTCTTTGTTATCTTGATAAAACAGCTGATTCCTGAGTCATAAGACAACCAAGTAACAGTTAGGAAAACGTTTTGAACAACAAGTTATAAAGCATTGTGCACCGTTCACGGAGAACAGAGTGAATGCGATGACAGCAGTTGTAAAATATTAGCTTTATCATAGACTTGGTGTCATCAGAATTACCTGGTTCTTCATTCACGAAGCGTAATTCGAATCTTGGAGGTTATTTACAATCCATTATCTCTAACCTTAAAAATATTTTTACTCGCTAAATACCAACATTCTAATCGGTTTTCTACAGTATATGTAGTCTGGACAAGTTTCTATAGGATTTATAAAAACAAATAGTATATCTTATAAAAAATATGTCTGTTTGCTTTTTTTTACATTAATACTCATTTTCAAGAGTCGCAAAGTTGCACTTGTTTGTAAAGTTGTAGCTAGACATGAAAAAGTTTCGAATAGATATTCGCATTCGGTTCTAGAAACTGTTAAATAAAATCACTTTTGCCCAAAATATCTCAAATCTAATTGTGATATTTCTTTTCTTTATTATCGCGTCTGCTTATCTACCAAGAATTCTCTACTAAAGCTCTTCGATACATCCAATTACCGAGATGAAAGGGAAAATCGCCCTTGTCAAGTATATTCAGCACTTCCTGTACCAAGTACAATTTGTAATACAACAGATGCTCAAAAACAAGTACACGAATTATCTTGTGGCTTAGAGTTTCTTCTCAGTCAAAACTCTGTCGATAAAGTGCTCCCTAAATCAGTTTCTCCTTACTCACCAACGTGTTATGCTCCACCGTCAGCTGGCGCCTCTTCCTCTTCATCTAACACAACTATGAATAATCCAACCACCGATCCACTCGTCTCTCACCAAAACTCAAGTTATCATACAAAACCACAAAGGATCCCTTGGAAAAAGAGTAAAGATGGTTCAAATCCTAATGCTGAAATATACAGTTCTACAAATGTTCATAAATTACCTGGTTCAGAAGGCAACAGAGGAGAAGGAAGCATTAGTCTTGAGTAAGAGTGATTTTTTGTGTTACTTAATACAGTTTTATACTATTAATTACAAAAGTATTAATATTTTTGACAATGGTGTGTAACAAACCTGCCTAAAGTGAATTAAATCAGGTGCCGAGGGGATACTGAATAATTCAGCTGAATACTGGCATGATTACTCCCAATCCTTGTATAGAATTCCCGCCAAAAATGGACGAAAATCTTTGGAATCTTATTTTAGCTCACCAATATTTGATACTAATAACATCTACAAAATGAGGGTGAAATAAACGTCTCTGAAGATTACTGTCATAATGATTATTCGGATTGAACATATTTCTAGTATCTTTTAGATTTGATTTTAATCACAACTGAATGTAAGGTTAACTGTTATTTAATGAGTTGGTATTAGCGGATAGATGTTTCTCCGCGTTGCGAAACTTCATATTGGTTCATTTACGTGATATAGAACAGTGTAATACAGTAGTAGTTTTTAAATGATAATCTGGATACAACCTTTTGTTCATATTCATATCAAAGTAATCAGGCAGCTTGTTATTAACAGTGCAAATACACTTTTTTTATGAGTTTTGATATACATTTTCTTTCTTTTGCTGATCCTATATGATGAACATGGAAATAAGATGTCTGGAAAATGGAACTAATGAAAAATCCAATGGATCAGTTACTTTGTCCACAATTTTAAATTCAGCCACAAACAAGTCATACGGACAACTGAAACAGTCACAAGATTCATTTTATATAAATCAATCTCAGCTTAACAACCGAACATTATTAACATCCAGTTCAGAGAAATCTTATACTCGCTTTGCTGGGAACAAGAACTGTCACAGTTGCTGTCATTTCAATTCAGCACAAAGATTTCGGCAAATGATACTTAAAGCGCGGCAAGAGAGTGCAGACTCATAAGGTCAAATATCTTATTTGACCAACCACTGAAGATCTTATGGAGCAGTACAAAGCTAAAACTTCTAGTTATAACCTTTTCTTGATTGCTTAATTTACGACTAACTCTTGTCAAAAGTTTACATCCTAACTGAAAGACTTGTAAAACAATTGAATTTGTAAACATTTTCCATTACAGAATACGGATAACTTTTGTAATGTTTCTGGTGTTTCACCTAAACGCATTCCTGAAACCACTTGAAATGCAAACAGTTTGACTCTGAGTTTCCATACATATGGATTACATGTGCAGGGGAAAAAAATTTCAGTCAACAATTCATACTAGTATAATTACATGTATTTTGGTTTTTCTTCTGGCTACCTCTAACAGTTACGGTTGATGGCGTCAATACATCTTAGTCATATCGTTCTAGTGTCATTCATACCATTTCTGTTGACAATTATATTAAAACTATACCTGTCGCACAAGAAGTGGGCATCCTGACTTGGTAGTCTAGTGGATAACGCTCTGACGTTTGAAGCGGCCGGTCCCAAGTTCGAGCCCGGCGGGGACAACACTCACTGAGGGGCAGGTACGTCCAGCTGACTAGTCCCAAACAGGACGAAATGTGCATCCTGGATTTCACTGCTAGCCACTATCCTCATTACTATGACAATTCGTACTACTTGGAAGCAAACAGACTATAACTAGTTGCCGCTTGAAGCAATTCATATGTTATCAGAAGCATTCCAGTTTCGACCAACCTGTTAAATTTGATGTTCATTTTTTGGCTTTTTCTGTAGGTGGTAAGCAGAACTAATCAAAATTTCTAGTTGCACAACAGTCATGGAAATACCGTCATCAAATACGTTCTCAGAATGTTTACAATTAAGGACTAATAAGCTATCATTACTCTTTGTGGAAAACCATGAGCAAATCATGCATATTGTAGTTCCGTTGTATTTCAGTATGTTCAAGGGCTTGTAGTTCGATCGTTTATCTACACATATTGAATGCATTCCATTCCTAAATTTGAATGCTGATTCCCCGAGAATTCTGAAACTCTTCATTTCGATGTAAGAAGGAACTATTTCTGATAAATTCTTGTACCGTCTATCATGATTGGTAATTTCACTTACTGTGGTTTCAAGGAAAATGATTTTGAGACACTGCTGGATGAGTCTTCTAAAGAGTTCTCCCATGACCTAAAGGATAGGCTGGCCAAACTCTGTAGGAGTAGTCACCACCGTAAGTACTCCCATGGAATTTAACAGATCTAGTTTTTCAGCTGCTCTGATATTTTACATGCTTGATGAAGTAACTTGTATGTCATTTATAGACAGTAAACAACAAAGGGAACCTCACCTGGTTAACTAGTCCACTAGTTACTAGCCGGTCTTAAGACCGGGTAAAGAGGGAAGGTTGGGCATAGGGCTAGCAACCCTACTCCCTAGAACAAATCTAACCGCTAAACAAACTTCAAAGCACAAACAAAATATAAAAAATGAAAACAAACTTATTCCTCGCTGGAATCGGAGAGGCGAAATGACACCACTTGGTGAAAGCCTTCGGGAAGCCAATTAACCGATATGTCTTCACCTCTCTCGATGAAAGCGAAAGTAAACGTGGGGACACGGAATGTCTGTACGATGTTTGAACCCAGTAAGGCAGCCCAGATTGCAAAGGAGATGAAGAGGTATCACACTGAGGTGCTTGGAAATTGCGAAAGCAGATGGAATGGAAGTGGAGTCTCCAAACTGTCAACTGGAGAATCAATAATCTACTCCGAAATTGTCACCCAGACGACAACCACGAGCACACTGAGTTATGGAGTGGCCATCATGATGTCCCCAACAGCATCGAAGGCTTTCTCTCATGCAGTGAGAACCAATCTCCTCCTGCAGGAACAGGATCATGACAGCAAAATTCAACTCAAAAGGAAGGAAGGTCACAATCATACAATGCAACGCTATGCACCTACAAATAATGCAGAGCAAGAGAAAAAGGAGGAATTCTACAGACAACTTCAATCAACACTGGAAAAGACACCACCTCAGTTGGCGATATCAAAATCCATTCTAATGGGCGACATGAATGTCAAACTGGGAACGGACAACACAGGAAGAGAACTCAGCATGGGTCGAGAAGTGCTTGGTGAGGTGATGAACGAGAATGGAGAATTGTTTGCAGAATTCTGTGCATTCAACGATTTGGTGATTGGAGTCAGGCAGTGTGTTCAGGCACAAGGATATCCACAGAGCCAGCGACATGGATTTCACCAGACACCAGGACACACTACACTAACAATCAGATCGACTTTATCTCAATGTGAAGAAAGTGTAGACGCAGTCCGCTTGACACAAGGTCAAGAAGAGGAGCAGATGCAGGTTCACACCACTCACTATCCAGTGCAAGGAACCTTCCAAATCAAGTGAAAAGCCTTCAAGGAAGCTGGTGACGACAGATCACAGTTCACGTACAACACTCGGAAACTGAAGGGTGAAACTACAAAGGAAATCTTCACATCAGTCAGCCATCAGGACAAAATGGGAGATATCGAGGAACATCCCTGAAGAAACCTGTGTGGAAGAACACTGGAAGTCTTTGAAAGAGATGTGGAAAGAAACCTGCACAACCGTATTAGGAAGGAAGAAGAAAGAAGATAAGGAATGGACCTCAATGGATACCTGGAAGCTGATAGAGGAGGGAGAGAAGGGCGGTGAAACAGAAGATAAACCAGTGCAAGGACGCTCAACGACAAGAGGAACTGAGTACAATGTATAAAACACTACACTGGACAGTCAAGTGAAGAAGAGTGCGTGGAAAGACAAAAGACACTTCTACGAAACACTGGCAAGTGAAGCACAACAGGCTGCAGGTAGGAGTGACAGAGACGTGACAACATTATATCAAATAACTATCTGAGAGGGAAGAGACCAACACAGACGAAACCAATAAAAGATGATGACGGAAATTTCATTGCGAAAGAAGAGAAACAGAGGAAACAATGGGCCGACCACTTGAAGAAGCTCTTGAATCGACCACCACCACCACCACCACCTGCACTTCGTCCACAAATACCACCAGCAGCCCAGCCACAGAACTACAAGTGAACATAAATCCTCCAACAAAAATGGAAGTCCTGAAGGCCATAAAGCTACTGAAATGTGGGAAAGCAGCAGGACCAGGTGGAATACCACCAGAAGCACTGAGAACAGACGCAGAGACAACAGCAGCGGACATGCTTACACCACACCACTATTGCAGAAGGTGTGGAAGGAAGAGAAGGTACCTGGCTAGTGATTGGAAGAAGGGTTACCTTGTCAAACTGCCGAAGAAGGGAGACCTCAGTGTTTGCAAGAACTGTCGTGGAATCACTCTCCCGTCCACCCAAAGCAAGTAAAATATTAAGCCGCATCATCCTGGAGAGACTAAAGCATGCACTGGATTCAAAACTACGACCGGAACAGACTGGTTGGCTTCAGGAAGTACAAATCATGTGCAGACCAAATTGCAACGCCACACCACGCATCATCATAGAACAGAGCATAGAATGGCAATCAGCTCTCTACCTCAACTTCATCGACGTTGAGAAGGCCTTTGACAGCGTCGACCGAGAAGTAATTTGGAAACTGCTTCATTACTACGGAGTACCGCAAACCTTTATCAGCCTCGTTCAACAACTATGTGAAGATGCCACATGCCAGCCAAGTAATTCACAATGGGAAGCTCAGTGATGCCTTTGCACTTGAAGTGAAGACAGGAGTGAAACAAGGTTGCCTACTATCCCCCATGATATTCTTGATTGTGGTGGACTGGATCATGCAGCAAACAGTGGGGAGCTGTGAGAAGAGGAGGATACGCTGGACTGTGGAAAAGAACCTAGAAGATCTGGATTTCGCCAGCGATGACTTGTGTCTGATGTCACACAAACTTGAAGATGTACAGGCAAAAACTAACAAGTTGGCAGAAGAGGCAGGGAGGGAAGACGAGACTTCAAGTGAATATAGAGAAGACAGAGGTAGAGGTGATGAAGATACCCAACCAGCACCACTACCAACAACAAACTCCAATCACCATGAACGGGAGAAACTTAAAGGAAGTAACCTCCTTCACCTATCTAGGAAGCACTGTTTCAACTACAGGCGGGACAGGCACAGACGAGGATGTCAAAGTCAGCCAGGATCGGAAAAGCAAGACAGGGGTTCATTAGCCTGAAACCAGTGTGGAGATCTTCTGCACTCCACTCAGCATGTGGAACAAGATGTGGATTTTGAACACCAACGTCAAGTCAGTGCTTCTGTATGGTTCAGAGACTTGGCGCGTCACGAAAGGGATTTCCAGTAAACTACAGACATTCATCAACAACTGCTTACGCTCGCTACTGAAGCTCAGATGAATTGCCAGAAAGAATAAGCAACCAGGAGCTCTGGGAACGAACCAACCAAGAACCTATCACCCAACATATATGCACTTGAAGGAAGTGGAGATGGATTGGGCATACAGTGAGAAGGCCGACTGAGGACATCACGCGTCAGGCCAGTTGCTCGAGTGGAACCCCGATGGGAAGCGACGAGTTGGACGTCTGAGCCGAGGGTGACATGGAGGAGATGGTGCGAGGAGGAAATGAGAGCTTGTGGTCTGTCGTGGAGCCAGGTTTGAAAGATTTCAGAGAAGAGAGTTCACTAGGGACGTTCTACTGAAGCCCTATGTTCCACTAGGAACCCAAGGGACTAATAATAATAATAATAATAATAATAATAATAATAATAATAATAATAATAATAATAATAATAATAATAATGAACAATGGAGAGGTAAGGATATTGATATAGGTGTAAGTTTTCGATTAGTTCACATCTCATGGTAAAGCTTTGTAACCAACAGCAGATTAAAGTTGTTGCTAGTTTGCGTAACGGTATTATTAACTTTTATTATTTCCACGATCTTCAACTTAAGTACAATGACCTTTAGAAGACTTTTAGTGACTGATTCTTACGCTACCACAGAATCATACTTTTAGTGAAACGTTAAGTTATTCTATAAATATACCTTACTATATGTAAAGCTTACGCCAATACATAGGTATATTTGTAGGCTTCCTATGAGCATGTTTATCCGACTCATGTATGTTTGATAAGTTACCAGCGTGATAGTAACGATGAACTGTGTTGGAAAAAATGAGAGAGACAGAAAAGAATGGGTATATGAAGGAGAAAAATGTGGCACTAATTCGTGAACCCATTGGACGTGTGACACAAATTGCGACACAGACAGTCAAGGGAAATTAGAGACGAAAAGTCAGAGAGTCAAGAAAATAGACAGTACTTAGATGAAAGAGAAATAAAGCAAAACGCGTAGCGAAAAGTGA